AGTCTATGGCATAGGTATAACATGGGTAATGATAAGTCTATGGCAATGATAAGTCTATGGCATAGGTATAACATGGGTAATGATAAGTCTATGGCAATGATAAGTCTATGGGCTAAGTCAATGTGGAGTGCTAATCCTATGGACTCTTATTGAATGTGTAGACAATGCTAATCTATTCTTTGAGCATCACCCGAATAGTGGTTAACGTATAGCATCGCTGTGTGTGAGTTGTTTTTTAGATAAAATGTATTGATCTAACAACCATGCAAATTATACATTTATATATCGATATTTTGACAATAATCAACTTTTAAAACAATTATGGAACTTACAAACATCAAATTTTTAAATTTTTTTAAATAACTGGAATATTGATATTATCTATAACATTTATCAGGGTACTTTTAATTGTGCTATTATCTCTATATTTCAATATTTCAATAATATATTAAATTAAATCATAAATCATAACTAAAGCTTCCATTTTCCGGGAGTAAAAACATCCAAATTCGGGAATTAAAAAGCCAAAATCGGGAAAATTCGGGAAATACGATTTTACTCAATTATAACACAATCATTATACATATAAATCATTTACAAATGAATTATATTTTGATAATGACATGAAATTTGAGCTTTTGCCAGTCTTCTATCTTTAAAAATTATCTTAAACTTAGAGAAAGAACGCTAGACTTCGACGGAGAAAATCAATATATATCTTGTAAGATATCTTATGAATTACAAAACATGTTTTGATTTCAGTTATATTCAGCTTAGAACTTTATTAAGAGTTTTGGTGAAATATTATAGTTATTAAATAAATAATATTCTCCAAAAATTATCTAATTTCGGGAATATTTGTCATAAAAATAGACTTTCCGGGAATTTTCTTAAAAATATGCTAAAATCGGGAATTTTCTCAAAATAAGCCAAAATCGGGAAAAATCGGGAAAATAAAACTTATATATTTTTGGTCTATTATAACCTCTAAACCTAATGGTATATAATTCCCGATGATTTTGTTAATTATTTTATTCGGGAATTCCCGAAAAATGGAAGCCTTAATCATAACTACGCTAATACTATGCATTAGTATTACATTGTAATCATAATTCTCATCTCAACACAAAAAAAATAATTTGAGATTTATTTTAAAAAGCTGCTTATTGCAATTTGATAAAATATGATTTAAAACTATAAACTAATTTAAAAATATATATATAAACTTGATTAAAGTAAAGTATTGAGCATTTAAATGAGATTACAATACATGTAAGAACATTTAACTTTTCAACACATGACATAAAATAAGTAATTAAGAAATACAGTACAATGTACGTAAATTTTTGCAATTAAAATTACTGTTATAGAGATTATGATAGTGTATGAGTTATAATGCAAATTATAAATACAAAAGAATTGTTAAAATACTCACTAAATTGAAGGGATGGACAGAAGAGTTGGGATACGTTTGCTCTTCAGCCAAGATTTGTCTCAAATGGTTTATATAACTGGCGGCTAATCTTAAAGTATCCAATTTGGAAAGTTTTGTATCCGCCGGAACCCATGGCAGTGATGTCTTCAGTCGAGTAAATGCCTGTTAATTTGCACATAATTCACATTTTAATAATATTTAATAATATTTTAATTGACATTCAAATAAAATTCAAACAAAACACAACAATTGAGACATACTTTGCTTAAAACCCTCATACGTGCCCTTTCGCGAGCGTTGGCCGCATTCCTGGCCACCGGTCTCTTCCCGTTTGTCTCAGAATATTCTGAGTCCGAAGAAGTGTTGTTGTAATCGAATTGCAGTTCGTTTTCCGAGATCTTTCTCTTGCGAGCCATTCCTGACAATAAATTCATTGATTTAAACGTTAGTTTAAAACGCTTTTACTTTACGTTTGCGAGAAGTTATGACAACTTATAGAATATTAAATTACATTTGGTGTTAACAGTAATGCTATTGCAAACCCATTGCATAAGTCAAAGGATTTGCAAACACTTTGCATTTTAAAAACAAATATGTATTTTAAGCGAAAGCAGATTAAATGGTCAATCGTTAAGAAAATAAAAGTCTGACCTTTTTGTACAGCAAATGATTTCAGATATTTCTTCCCAAGAGTTCAACAACTTTTTCTTAATATTATATAAAGTTAGCGACAAATTAGTGTTTGATTTTTATTTAACACTTATTGCTCTTCACTTGAATCGCAAGATTAAGCGCTGACTATCTGTTTGGATAAGTCTTGGGTGCGATTCTGTGGATGCGCTCCTCCTTTGACACCATCTCCTTCTCCAACAATTGGTTGCTATTTAAGTCTCACTCAAAACATTAAGGATTCTCTATGTTTTCCAAGTGTTCGCTCATAGCATTGCTTTTTCTCTTTTTTTGAAACAAAAAAAGTTGTTTTTATATAAATATTACATTTAATGGGAAGCGTTGCATAGCCTGTGCAACGGGTCGTCAAAGAGCACGTGCCGGGTCTGTGCCGGTGCGGTGTCGGTGCTGTTTGTCTCCTCTTTCTAGAAAGTTATAATTCAATTAAACGCATAAACAAAATGCAAATGATTTTTAGTTTAAAATGTTAGCGAGAAGTCAAACGCATAGAGCCTTCAATCGACGCCTTTACGCAATATAACAGTTTTTTATGTCTGGACCAAAGGGCCGGTCTTTGACCACATCCTGACACGTGCTTCTCATTCAAACACCGATTCTGTGCCACTGTTTAGTGTTTATTGTTTACAACCTTTCCTTCACTTTGTATAAACAGTTTTACCAGAAATAAATGCCAACGACTTTCCATTTTCTTCTCTCCTATAAGTGTTTTTTGGAATTTTTACAATTTTTAACTATAAATTATTTTCATTGAATTATTGAAAAAAAAAATCTTTTAATCTTTCATAACCACTCACTTCTAAAATCAATGATACTGTGCAGTAGAGTGACCAGCGGCCACTCAAATTAAATAACAAAAAACTTGGTGTTTTACACATTGAACTTTATTAATAATGAATAGGATATAAAATATAAGTTCGAGTGTTAAGTACAGAATTCTTCATATGCGCGTATGTTTTAACATTGGCTCACTGTATGTGCAATTTAGGCACGATGTTATAATAATTATATTAATGTTCCAATTGTAATTGTAATACAATATAAAATCATCAAAATATTTGATCTAGTCAAAACATAAACACAGTTGTTTAGACATCTACAATACAATACATACAAAGTATGTCTTAACCTTAAGTCCACTGAATTGATGGACTAAATAATAAGATGACAAGAATAGGAATATTTACTAAAACTTTGGGATAAAGAA